AAAAAATAGTGCACTTTTCTTCTAATTTCGATATTTAATAAGTTACATATGATTATATGGCATTTTATTGATGTTGACAAAATCCGACCGTCGAAATGGCGAACTGTTGACAAAAAATTTTGTTTTTCTTCAATAATCCCTAAACCGTTAGTTCTACGGGAAAATTGCATAGAACCTTTCTTATAGAGAACGACGAGATAAATTCCTGTATCTCTTTCTATGAAACACTACGTCATAGTAATTGTTATTTAACTCGAATCTATCAAATGGCAATTTAAAATTAGCGAGTACTTGACTCGTGTGGTAAAATTCCTTCTACATATCGTACATACCTAGCCTGCATTATTTATATTTGCCGGTGGCTCTGGGCAGGCATGGTTTGTAAAGCACCTCTTATGCTTTGACAATAATTTCTACAGTTTTCATTATCTTAAGCTCGTGACACCTACGTCGAGATTAAACTTGGTAAACATTTTTTGGCATGGGTGATAATCTACGTCGCGAGGTAACGTTTCTATACATTTTTACGTAAGTGTCACACTTTCTTTTTGTTCAAATTATCAAATAGAATGGAACATCGTTTTCTGTAACGATCTTTTGTTTCGTAAACAGGTGTTGAACATTTTCAAAAGGCTGCATCGAACGCGGATGAAAACGTTCCAAGACGACGATTTCGCGTTGCAAGGTATACGAATATATACTGTATGGTAACGAATACGTAAAATAATATTGATGTATCTTCCAGTTATAAGGAATAAGATAAACGAGGAGTACAAGAAGTGCAAGACCGTCTCAAATCCTGCAGCCATTCAAGAGGTCGATTAAAGATCAAATAAAGATATACCTGTATAAGTAGCTTTTGCAACTGATCAAAGCTATTTATATATTTAACTTTAAAGAGAAACTGTACCTCTTATTTTTCTCCGGTCTTCAGTTGAACAAGTTCGCGGAGGAAGTGGAGCACGAGTTAAGGACAACAGTGATTCAGGCAGTGGAAAAGGAATCTGGAACATTTGGTACACTTTAATCAACGGAGAACATCGGTAATCAAGTTTGTAATTAAATTAAACAAGAATCTTGAAATATTTTAGAATTACGGATCCAACCGGATACCTTGGTGGACAATGCCGTGTTCGAAGAAAAGCCAAAGGATTGCAAAGGAGGATTGAGGTCGGACAAAGACGATACGAATCCAAAGAACGTAGCCGGGAAATAAAATAAAACCATAGTAAATCGTTTTCTTTCTAGCAGTTTATTTCTCCTTTGTCCTCGACTTTGACCAGAGATCGGGAATTTTCTCTCTCGACGAAAATAACAAATTTTATTTCTCGGCACCCTCCACTTTCATCCTAGAAGAAACAGTTTATGTTGATCATTGATTGGAATTAGTGTAATACGATTAGAATTATACTTTCCTCTTCCGTTTGATCCCGCCATAACATGGGATTTTGTTCGTTTGATTCGACCGGACAGTTTCGTAGAACAAGGAACGATATGGACGCGGGGCAGGGGTTTTTCGTTTTAGAACATGTACAACGTTTTCGGCGCGAACCTGATGAGAGCGATATGAATTAAACCGTGACAGAGTTAGTAAGGACAACTTGAAACAAAGTGGATACATCCGTTTCGTTTTTTTTTAATAGCGAGTACTAACACATGCTCGGGATGGTTACGTATCTGGTCCAGAAGATCAGCTGGTCTGATTTGATCCGTGCAAATGCGATGAACAGCCGTGAACAGCGGGAACTTTTCCAGCATATTCTTTGCTATAAACGAAAAGTCAATTAATTCACGAACGATAATTTAATTTATATCAAGACCTACCCTTTAACATGCCGTGGACTTCGTCTGCCGTGGCAGGTCCTTGGAGTTTCTGACCACTCAGAAGCTCATCTTCTAATTGTTTGATGGTCTGAAACGAACGATCACGATAGGAATAAATTCCTTATTATTATCACGCGAGATGGTACCTTCCCAGTCTTCACGTACTGCTCGCACACTCTCCGATTTCTACCGCCGTAGCAAGTGGTGATCAGATCCGCGATACCGCAGCTCTCGAAGAAGGTCGCGAGCTTGCCACCTGGGAAGAAGACGTCGACGAACCTGATCATCTCCATCAGGCCTAGCCTGATCACAGCCGCTTTCGTATTATCACCATATCCTAAACCGTCGACGAAACCGGCTGCGCAGGCGACTATGTTCTGAAACAAATAATCGAGACTCGTCATTATGAATCGAACACGATTAAGATGTAGCACAAATCGATTGGAATTTGAATGATTACCTTGAGAGCACCGCAAACTTCGACTGACTCACAGTCATCTACGACCACGACTCTGAAATTGGGCGTCTGGATCAGGTCCCTCATCAAGGGTGCCAAGCGTTTGTCTCTACAACCTGTGAACAGATGAATTTCATTTCGGTGAACTTTGTTTACATCGGGTTTAGAACATCAAGATTTACCTATCGTAGTCTCGCAAAACTTCTCCTCGGCCACTTCGTTCGCCAGATTGGCTCCCATCAGAACGTAACATTGAATCCTCAGGTTCTTCTCGATTATCTTCGAGATCAGTTCGATATTGGTCCCGTCGCCACGGTCAAATCCCTAAAGCAAACTCCAAAATTTATATGCGAGCAACATATGTGCAACATATGGGTTTGTTACCTTAATAAGAGAGAGACCGACCGCGGTCGGTTTTATTTTATCCAACAGCGTCGCGCATAGTGTTCTGATAAATTGGTGAGGAATTACAAATATTAAAATATCGGCATCCTTCGCTGCTTCGACGACATCCGGTATCGCTACCTGAAAAAAAAAACCAGAAGGCGATCAGAAATTAGTATCTAGATAAACGATAATTCTCTTGTAATTTTCATTGTCAAATTCTATTATCGCTCTTTGATTACTTTGCAAATACACTTGAATCCAAGATTAATGTTTACAATAATTAACAGAGTAGAGCTGCTGGTAACGAGTAACCGGATGTGATAAAAGGATTTTCGAATTATCAAGAGCGTTGCATCATATAAAATAGTTATTGATATTGGCAGAACCATCTCCGTTATCAATATTGCTAGCTTTCGATATCAATCACTTTTAAACCGGATGCGCTAAATGAAGATAACAGCATAATGAGAGAATCGTATGCAAAACATTGCGACATATCGTCAGTTTTTGACATTCTGTATATTTTTATGTAATAATATTTATCGCAGTGAAGCTTTTTTTCTTTTATCATAGTGACGCTGATTTTTATATGACGATTTAAACAGATTTATATTTTTTAAAACTTGTCCCTTTCATCTCCTGTGTACATCGATTTTCCTTCTGTGAATTCTTAAAACCCTCAATAACTATTTAAGGGGCGGCATCATTAGGTATACAACTTCCACTACAGCGTATCAGATAATACCATTATCTGTGTAGTAGGGGAAACCGCCCATATATAAAGAGGCACGTATCAAACGAACTAAAGAGCAGTAGATATTCGCAAGAATATCATCCTCCGTGATCTCTTCGAAGCGCAGCAACTCGATTGAACAAGTAAATCCATTAATCATGAGGATAAATTCGATAATACCCAATTTCGAAGTGGACTCCACGCAAGGTCGAATTAATTTCTACGACTGGCAGGGAGATTCGTAAGTCCAAAGATTTTTAACTACATCTGCCGTCACGAGAGTCCATAATGCGCAAAGACCAGTTTTCGGTCGCTGTCCTCATCTCTTTCTTTCTCTCTAATACTTTCCATACTTTCGCCACTACTTGGATCTACGTATTCGGTTAGTCCACTACCTCCAAGCTACACGAAACTGTATGGACTCTCGTGATGACAGGAATATATCTCTTTTGCAGAAAGTACAAGATCCAAATTCTGATCAAACAGTTTTAATCTTGTAATTCTCTTACGTTGCAATTGATATTGAAAGAAGGATTAATGCGTTTAAAGCTGATTTTAAATAATGCATAGTCAACGTTTGGATATGTAGTCAACCTTCAGTTTCAGAAAGTCAAGCGCAACGAGAATAACAATAATACTCTATTTACGGTCTCGTACAATTGTCCTTGAAAAGCGCGTTTAACACGCGTGTAATGGCTGTTCATGTATTTGTCCGAAGCAGATGTGTGAGAAATCTGTGGGCAAACAGATGACTATTACGGACGCATACTGCGTTGTTGAAAAAGAATCCTCTTTAAACAGAAACAATGAATTCAAATCAATTCCAAGTCGTTCCTACAATTCCAATTATTTATCACCGGCGTAATTAAAGTGTTTGAACATGTTCGTAGATGGGTGGTTCTATTTTCTCATCCGGCCGACTTTACTCCGGTCTGCACGACCGAGTTGGGCAGAATAGCTGTGCACAAGCCTTATTTCGAGAAACGAAACACGAAACTTCTGGCCCACTCCGTAGATAAACTGCAGGATCATGTCGATTGGGTTAATGTAAGATCGTGGATCAATGGTCGACTCTTAAAGTTCTTACTTAAAATATAAACATTATAGGACATCAAATCGTACTGCCGTGATATCCCCGGCGACTTCCCCTACCCGATAATCGCCGATCCCGATCGATCCTTGGCTGTGAAATTGGACATGATCGACGAGGACAGCAAGGACGACCCAGAAACCGCGATGACCGTTCGAGCCTTGTACATCATTAGCCCCGATCATCGCCTGAGGCTTTCGATGCACTATCCAACATCCACGGGACGTAATGTCGAGTGAGTACGATGCAATAGTAAACAGATATTGTACAGCAAGAATTATCGTGTGTCAGAATTATTGACGTTCATTGTACTTCGTCTTTTTTTTGAGATTCTACGTGTGATCGATTCTCTTCAATTAGTCGACAGAATACCGGAAGTGGCTACACCTGCCAACTGGGTGGTAAGAGATTTTGCATATAGAGTAGATGAAATCGTATTGGGTCGTCCAATCGCGTTTCTTATTTGCAGCCTGGAGAGAAAGTGATGATTCTCCCTACTGTCAAAGACGAAGATTTACCGAAGCTATTCCCGAAGGGTATCGACAAAGTATCAATGCCATCTGGAAAGGTGTACGTCCGCACCACCACCAATTATCAGTAAAAGATAAACCCGTCTCGTATGACATAACTCTATTATTTCTGTTACTCGCTCGCTTTGTCACATATACGTTTCGCTTGTTATGTAATACTTGGATGACTGATCGACGGATTAATGTTAATAATATCGTTTGGAATAAAGGAGCAATGGTGAAATAAAAAAATATGAGATATTGTTATCTGTCTCTGCGATAGAGAAAGTGTCGCATACTCACGACGTTCTCTGGTAATTTGTGCCCTGGCAGATATTTTACGTTCTCGTGCAGTTGATTGATAATGTCCGTGAGCTTCTGGCCATTCACAATTTCTTCGTAGACGTACATAGTTACACGTGGCTCGAATTTGTTATTGTACTTCATCGCGTTTGCACCGACGATCTTTGCGATAGCCGAGCCCCTGGGAACATGTACGAAAATCTCGTTTCAAACTACTTTCGAATCCATTTCTTCGTTGATTGATGAAGACGAGCATGCTTAACTTCACACTGCATTTTCATTATCGCGTGGAGGGTAAAGAAACTTGGAGGAACTCACCAGTTTCCGCTGCCGACGATGCAAACTCTCTTCTTAGCTTGGTCAGCCATCTCAAAACTGTTCCTTTCACTTCGAATTTGCCTCTTTAAATGGAAGTGTTTGGCGCGTACACGGAACAAGAGACTGGCTCTCGGCAAACGAAGGAAAACAGACCGACGAAAAATCAGTTTGTCGCACTTTCACAATCCTCCCGCGAATCCGTCGACCGACGGATTGACTGTCCGTCGAATCAACCGAATGACACATTCACTGACGGAGTGACCGACCTACTGACTAACTTCAACGCATTCTCAGGTTTGACGGTTTGACCTTAGCAACGAGATTATTTTCTGGCGGAGCTGCCCGGTAGAATTCTGGAGCAAGGCCAGCGGCACGCGATTTCGCCAGGAACCGGCGTACAGGCCAAAATTATAATTAGCGAGCAAGTTAATAATAATTCAAAAGGATGATAATGACGGATCATGATAATGTAAGTTTACCTCGCTACGCTCGAATGGAATCGTTAGCCAAGTACAACGTACTTTAAACCATCCTTTACTTATTCAATTTGCGAACAACACGTGGAACGAGCTTGCTCCTTACATAATATGTTGTAGTCGTAATTGAATACGTGCGTATTTTATTTTTCCGTTCAATTTAATACAAAATAATAAAAATATTGATTATCTTCAAAGACGTGATCGTAGACTACAAGACAATTGTTCGTTTTCTTCCTCTTCTTGGGCCAACGCGTTAGCTTGGGTCCTGAATCCAAAAATTAAATATCCTAAGACAAATTAATTAGCAACAAGGATTTCTTTTTAACGTACTTCGATTATAATTACCAAATTCACAAACTTTAAACTACAAACACATAAATAAATAATTAAAATGTTAATTACTATCTAATAAGGAAGATTAATTAGTATATGTTAATGAAACAAAGGGAAACCAGGAAACGATGAAACAATTAACAGGAATAGTGTGCGACTGTTTATTCTAACGAATAAATCATTTTTAATAAATCAACAGTAATCAACAAGCGCTGATATACATATATGTACACGTACATAGATATACTAGCTTCCGTAATACATAAAACAATTCTTTTTACAATGGATCTACATAAGACTATTTTTAAATTTCTTTGATATGTTACAACAAAACACATTTTCTCCTTTTACAATATATATATGTATATGCTCTACTATCGTTTTAAAGTGGCATCTGTACTATTTGTAACATCTTTCCACTGTTACTTTATGATGCTTCCAGCACCTCAAGTTTCCATTATTCATTTAACAATCTCATAACAATCTCCAGATTATTCAACCGTCTATATACAAATATTTATGTACATACACTCGTGCTATGTACATTATTTTTCAAACGAAGGAATTGTTTAATTATACCTACTTGTACTCTCGAGAAATATTAGAATCCTCTACAAGTGCCCGTCAGAGAATCTCCAGAAATCGTTAATTTTCAAAAATTTCTGGGATTCTGTGACATTTGTACGTTCCCAAGAATCGTACCGACTTACCGGAATCAATTTCTCTACGTGTTTAAACACTTCCTTCTTGTACACATACTTTCGTACATACTCTTGTACATACGTATATGCATTTGTTTCCTTACATGTGTTCAGGATGGTTCCGGATGCATTCGATCAAGTCGGCAGGTTTGATCTCCCCGATGCAAATTCGATGGATAGCGGTGAACAGGGGGAACCTGGCCTCCATGTTCTTTGATTTCAACATGTAGTTGACCTCCTCCGCGGTGAACGGACCCTGCAGCTTCTGCCCGTTGAGCATTTCTTTCTCGAGTTCCTCTATCGTCTGAGAACAGAACACAAACCGTCGTAGATACGTAAGATTCGATTTAGAAGAAATTATACCTTTCCGGTTTTGACGAACGCCTCGGACACCCTACGATTTCTGCCACCGTAGCAGGTGGTGATCAGATCGGCCACGCCGCAGCTCTCGAAAAATGTCGAAAGCTTTCCACCGGGAAAGAATATTTCGACGAACTTTATCATTTCCATCAGACCCAGTCTGATCACAGCTGCTTTCGTATTATCGCCGAGGCCCAACCCATCGACGAAACCCGCACCGCAGGCAACGATATTCTGCGAAACGTCATTGTTAAACGTCTTGAAGAATTTGGAGGAGAAGGAATCTAGGAGTTTAAAATGGAACATTACCTTTAAAGCCCCGCAGCACTCGACAGTGTCTACGTCCTCGACCACCACTACTCTGAAATACGATGTTTGTATCATATCCCTCAGTATAGGTGCCATGCTTTTGTCCTTGCAACCTGAACAGTAAAAAAGAGACCTCTTTAACTTCTTTCAATTGGTCTTGAACTCATTTGAATAACGTACCGATAGTTGTCTCGCAAAACATTTCGTCGGCGACTTCCGACGCTAAATTAGCTCCCATCAGCACCGAAACGGGAATCCGTAATTGCTCTGAGATTATGTGCGAGATAAGTTCAATACCGCCGCCCTCCTTCTTGTCGAATCCCTGATTATGAAATAAAAATTAACTTCTGCTCGAACGGAGAAGAGACAGTAAATGAAATATGTAATCAACGAATCGTTTCAAACGATACCTTGATCAAGGAGATCCCCACGGCGGTCGGCTTTATTTTACCGAGAAGCGCGCTGCATATTTTACTTATAAACTGATGAGGTATTACAAAAATTAAAATATCCGCGTCAATCGCCGCTTCTATCACGTCCGGTATCGCAACCTAAGGACATAATTAATATATTATATCATTTAATAGTTTTTAAATGAGTTCAGAGAATTACTTACGACGTTCTCAGGAATTTGATGGCCCGGCAGGTATTTCACATTCTCGTGGGTTTCGTTTATGATCTCCGTTAGCTTTTTCCCGTTTATCATTTCCTCGTAAACGTACATTGTAACGCGGTCCTCGAAGTTCGGCAGTTTAGCGGCATTGGCGCCGACGATTTTCGCTATCGCCGAACCCCTGAAATTAGGCATTTTTTAATACAGCCAAGCAGACTTGGGCCGCGCGAAGCACACGCGTCTCGAATCTGCGTCGAAGACCAATTTATTCTAAATTCAAACAGATTCGAATCCACTTCACTGTAGAGTTACAAGGCTACGGGCATCAAAAACTGTTGTATGTAGATACGACCTCGGAATGGTATTCGATAAGTGATAACGATTAATAGACACTTAGGATCCATATCTTAAGCGTTGGATTTATTATCACATTCTTTCCAATATTTTTCTACAATCGATGAGAGAAAAATTGATCTATTATGAAACCAAGTAATGTAAACATAAAGTATAATATGAAAAGAATTTGGATAATTTTTATTTCACAGATGATCATTTAAATTGGAACTCGAAAAAATCATCTGAAAATCTGCAGAGCAAAAAATGGAATTTAAGAATGGAAGAAGATAATCATGATCGTGTCAACGAAGGTCATCTCCAATCTGCTTGTAAAAATATACGAGGCGATAACTAGGAACTCGGAGACACGTTTAATCAGCTGTAAAAATAGACGTTAGAAATTACCAGTTTCCGGATCCTATAATGCAGACACGGTGTTTGGCGACCATCTTGTCAATTATTACACTCACATACACGTGCAAAACCGAAGGAAATGAAAAGAAGGGAACTCAGGAAAAGAAGAATTATGTAATAAGCTACTTTTATCGGCTCGAATTTTGTTTTACGAAGACCTCGGTACTTGGGGACCGTTTGCAGCGACGGAAACGGAGGAACTGGAGAACTGAGAAGCAATCGATATCTACGGGCTTGTGAGTCTGGTGGGCAAGAGGCAAGATCTGGCGTATATAGAAATACTTTACGTATGTGTATTTACGTTATCTGGAATAGTTCTCCAGTGAGCATGCGCGAATACGAGCGAATCTTGACGTCATGGAAAATGCAATGACTACTAAAAAGCCATCAAGGTCGCCAGATTTGGGTAAAGATGAAATCTACGGGTCAGACCCGTAAGCGATTCATCTGATGAATCATGTCGAAGAAAATTTTCAAAGATATTCACGAGAGATCCTCTTGAAAGGACCGTGAGGACGAAAAGCCTGCGAGGGAGTATCAGAACAATTTATAATAATTTATTATCGTGGCAACATTACTTAATTTATTACAACGTATTTAATAATATTACAATATATGACAATATAGCGCTCCCGCTAATCGTTCAGGCAGAAAGAGCCACAATATATATCTATTAATTCATTTAACAATACCGTGACGTCAGCAGTCTAGTCTATCAGAACGTGCAAGTATCTCTGATTGTAAATTTCCGTCGCCATCGTTCCGATCACAGCAGTGGCATTGTGCAGCGAGTTCCCGGGATCCTTTATCAACCTGGTACATAATGAACGAACGAACTCATTACACTCCCTTCACTACAGAGAAGAATGAGATACCTTATCGCGCGCTCCACGTCGCATTTGACTTCGGCGAACTGTTTATTAAGTAAGAGACCCTCGAGCGCTTGCATCGCCTTCACTGCCTCCAAGCTCGGCCTGATGTCTGTCTCGGAGTCCGTTTCGGAGTTCGAGGTCGGTGCCACACCCGGGGAATAGGCCGCGTACCTTACTAACTGATCCACGGAGGATTTACACTCGGGCAGCTGAGCCAAGCAATAGACGGCCGTTGCCCGGCATAAGAATTTGCACCTAGAAATGAGAAAACGGATTTAATTACTGTCAGCTGATGTAACTTTGCTTCATGTATTTACCGTGGTGACAAATGGGAACTCTTCCTGAGACCGATAGCGTCTAATATCGCCCATCCACCTTGTCCTCCCTCGTCGACGAACGTTAATAACGATTTGGACAGACTTTTTAACGCCCTCGCGGCTATTTTAGTAGTATCGTTGTATAGGCACTGTCTGTAAGCCAGCTCGCAAGCTTTCGACCAGAGAAGCGGTAACTTCTCCTCGTCTATGTTTCTAAAATGGAAAGACCTTTTAAAGAATTGGTATTCGGTATAAATCTACGATCTGAACCGGTAAATAAATTTACACTGGTCTTATGGCCGCGATCCAGTCCATCAAACTGGACAGCAACATCCCCTCCTCTCTAATGTCTTGACAAGACGGCAATCGTTTCAGTAAAATAGAATATAAGGCTAGCAGCTTTCCTTCGTTGACCAACACAGTTTCCAGTGGCAACGCGACGGATTGCTTCAGTGTCGGTACTCCCGATTGCAAAATCCTCATTGCCTCGGCCCAGGACGGCGGAACCTCCTCCAACACTTTAAAACGTATAATAAACAATACGTAAAACATAGAACAGGATGAATCGAATGTTTATTTTTGACCCTCCGGGTGCGAAATTCGGTTTCTCGTGTTTAGCGGGCGCAAAATAGCACATTCCCGCCCTAGAGCGGAAAAGACGGAAAATGATGTAATTACAACTTCGATGGCTTTTGTTATCGATTAAACAAACCTAATGTCATTTCATTCTACGTCTAATCTCAGTGAAAATGAATTGTGACAGTGATTCTGATTATGACGAA